CAGTGCTCATGCGGTACCTGGAAGAGTTTCTGAAGTTTGTAAACCAGATTGATGAAAAAATTCCATTCACGATGGAAGTGGAGGAAGGTGAGCAGTTACCGTTCCTGGGCGTTGAAGTGATTCGCTTTAATGGGACGCTCAAAAAGAAATTGTTCAGAAAGTCCTATGCTGGAATAATACTTAATTTCAGGTCTCATTACAATTACAGGCTAAAGATTGGAATAATGAGAAACATGATCATCAGAAGCCTACGCCTGACGGATGCAGATTTCTGGGACGAAGAGCTGGAGAAATTGACTAGGATCTTCCTCGGCAATGGCTACCCAAGCGAAGTGATACAAAGAAACATACAAGGGGTGAAAAGCTGATGGTAGAATGGGGACTATGAAAGAACAGTAAAGACGATGAAGTATTCACAAAAGTAGACATACCTACCTTCCTGCGAACTAAGTCAAGAAGTACGGCCAATATCGAGTAAATGGAATATTCAGGTGGCCATGAAAGAGAAATCAACACTTTACACAAGTCTACCAACGCAACATGAAAGGGTAGACAAATTGGATTGTTCATGAGTTTACCGTATATCATGCGGCGCCTGCGAACAGAAATATCTTGGCGAAACAGAAAGAAAAATTAGCACATAAATCAAGGAACATCAGAGGGTCTGCAGGAAAATTGATACCAAAATATCAGAACTAGCGGAACACATGACACAGACAGGACACGAGATCAATTGGAAGGCAACATATAGAAGAGCTAAATACGGTGAAAACACAAGGAAGAGGAAGATTAGGGAGGCCATTGACATCCTTGGGGAGAAAAATCTAATGAACAGGAGATTGGAGGAAGGTAGAGTTAGCGATAACCTTGCCTACTGCCTAAGCAAACTCGGAGAAAATAAAAATAGAGCAAGACCAGCAAAAAGGAGACGCCTGTATCAAGGATCTATTGCTAACCCGAAGAAAAGGGATCGCGATGAGAAAATTGTGAGGAAGGGATGTTCGGCCATAAAGCGAAGACGTCAGTGAGTGATGTCCATTTCGAATAAACCAGTACAACGTTGAGGGATTGGAAGTGAGGGAGATGGGCAGACGGATAAGCCAACCACCAAATCGGTCAGCCAGAAAGATAAGGAACGGATCTACGAGACAATGAAAGGATCCAGATTAGATGCCCGAGTCGGATAAGCCCATCGAAAGAGAGGGGTCGAGGTAAATAGCAAGTGGGATGAGGCCACG